CCCAGCCGAAACCAGGACACTGGTTTGCCACTGTCACCCTCCCACGTTGTAAAAAGCTGATTTTTATCATCATTTATTCCAGTTTAACATGCCTACTTTTACAGCAAAGGCCAAGAGCGTTTGGAGTATTTGTCTGTTTGTCATGTGTGTATGATTCCTAAACCAGGACCAGGTGCTCACGGATCCTTCTTTTATTGTAGGAACTCAAGTCTGCTGGCGTTCATCAGCCCAAATTTGCTGCTGAACTTACTGAGAACAGGGGAAAAAATAGATACAACAACGTCTTACCATGTGCGTTACTCTCTTCGGTTTTGCATCTTCTACAGGTTGAGTTTTTAGGTGAAAAACCTTGGGTTTGGTTAATCTGGCTTTAATAGTACCCAGAGGTTTCTAAGAGGGATTAATGTCGTCAATTTCCAAATGAATGAATTAGGGCTGCTGCTTTCCCAAAATCGCTGTATAAGCAACCCTAAAGAGCTTTCCCTCAAGAACGTTCCCTAAAGTTCCCAAACTTCCCCTCAAGAAAGCTCCTTAAAGAACTTTCCCTTAAATAATTTTAATTTTCTATTTGTGAGAAACTTGCAGTCCAGATGGGAAAAACCAAGAGGTGAATGGTTGACTACAGACAGACAGATGTGCAGAGCTATGAGAAATGTTAAGGCCCTGCTGGCCAGCGTTGCAGACAGACTAAGAGCCTAAGCCCTGCCAGGCTGTCTGCGGGCACCCCGATGTAGCAGACTGTTAAGAAGGAATTGGAAGGTGAACAGTGACGGGTACTTAGGGATGCTTTGGAGGAAAAACATCAGCTGCAATGGCAGCAGGAGACAAATTACCTAGTTTTCTCCAGTAATTAAAACTATAGTAAATTTTGTGTTGGATTAAAAATATATAAATATGCAAAACCAAACCACGTTTTTTAAAAAAAAAAAAAAAAATCTGTGTTGAGTATTCTGAATTTTTATTCTGGCCACTTTTTTTTCCTGAAGTCTTTTCATTATAAACATTCTAGGCTACTGGTATTTATGATTCCTAAAGTTATATTCTTATTCTTAAAATGCCCATTGTTTTAAAACACCTTTTTAGAAACCATGCATTAGATAAGCAGTATTTTGCTGAAAGGTTCTAGTTCTAAAATTCATAATTTTCCTTTTTTCTTTCTGCAGATGATATTTCTCGTGTTAAACTTTCAGATCAAAGCTCTCCAACTGATGATTATATTAATGCAAACTATATGCCTGTAAGTTGCTTCATTAGTTGAAATTAAGTATAATGTATTTTGGTGATGCAGGCTTAACAGATCATAATGATGTTTAAAATCTTCTTTTTATGTCTCATTGATGCAAGTGTGTGTATATATTTATTTTGTTGGTTTTTTTCATCTTCTTAGGGCTATAACTCAAAGAAGGCATTTATTGCTGCACAGGGTCCTTTACCCAATACGATAGAAGACTTCTGGCGCATGATTTGGGAAAAGAATATCTACTCTATTGTTATGTTGACAAAATGTGTTGAACAAGCCCGGGTATGTTTTTATTAAAACTGAACTGTCTCCTGAAGGCGGTTGGATCTCTTCTAATTTTGTGGTTACCCTAGTAGGTTGGAGACGGACCACTTTCTTTTAACAACCATCCACTTACTGGAAGACTGTTTTCTAAGTTGAATAAGCCCAATTTTTTTAGCTTTTTCCCATTTTTGTATCTTCTGACTACCAGAATAGATTGTCTCAGGAGGGTTGTTGGTGTCTTCAAGGGTGGGTTCTTCTCCCTAAAGAACGATTTTGGTAGAGCTTCTCCTGCCTTGGGACAGGCCATTGGGAAGGGTGACGTGCTTTCTAGCCCTGCTTCAGGTGGTGTGTTATTTGAAACTAACAGTCAGTTGCTTCATTGCTGTGTGTAATGTGTCTAACCTTGTAACTCTCTTAGACAAAATGTGAGCAATACTGGCCAGACAAACAATCCAAGAGCTATGGTGACATTATTGTGACAATGGTCTCGGAGATTGTCCTTCCAGAATGGACAATAAGGGACTTCACTGTAGAAAAGGTGAGTACCCCCTCAGTTGTTAGTTGGGTATAAATACCTGTAGAAGTGGTTTATCGTATCACTGTGACTTTACATGTCAAGCAACGCTGGAGTGACAGAAAATACATATAAAAAATTTCACTAAAACTTAATCAAATTCAAAGTTATCTGAGGGAAAAGGATAAGAGTGGTTTATTTTAATTTGAGGCTTTGAATGTATTGGTCTGCTTTCTGCCAAAAGTCCGATTTAAAATCTTTCATGCTATTTACTGACAACGAGATTCCTGTGATATTTACGTATATGCATTTGTTCATATGCCCTGGCTTCCACAACAGTGTGTTAGTAACATATCCGGAGGTGGGAATGAGTTGTCAGTAAGACCCTCCCTGTGGCAGAAAGGGATCTGCCAGCAAAATCCAGCCTGCTGATGAGAATTACTGATTGCCCCATCAGTGATCCTGCAGCTCGCGTTTCCCTGAGACTTGCACCAAAACTCATGCTTATGCAGATACTTGTAATGTCTGCTAGACTGAACAATTAGCCCCATCTCTGTCAGCAAATGTAATGCAGCAGAGATGATATTGGAGTAAAGTGAAAAGTAAAAGGAAATTATTTCAAAGTATTCTCTACCAGAGCAGAAGGAAGAGGGAAACTGAAATATCATTGATCAAATTACTGCACAGTTTCTAACAGGCATCTTTAATGAAGCTGAGCTTTGCCCAGTACATATGGCAGGAAGCTCTACTGTTGCTCCTCTGAAGCCTATTTTCTGTTGTTTTTAATGTGTATTCGTGCAGTCCAACACACCAGAGAGCCACACACTGCGCCAGTTCCATTTCACCTCCTGGCCAGATCACGGAGTGCCGGAAACAACAGACCTTCTCATCAACTTTAGACACCTTGTTCATGAGTACAGCAGTCAAAATCCAATCAACTCTCCTACTCTGGTGCACTGCAGGTAGGAAGAACATGCTTGTGTTAGACACACTTTTTCTTGTGGCTTTTTTAAGAACAATTATTTTTCAATGTGATTTAAAAAAAAAAAAAAAACACATGAAAAAATAAGTCTCCTTGCTTAAGAACATGGGCTATTCACCCTTTGCCCCATGCTTCAGAAACGTAGCAATGCTATGTAGGTAGCAAAGTACATGATAGAAAATGTCATTAGAACAGACCATCTCTCCTAGCCTGGAAAACTTAGCTGAAAAAGTTGCCTTTTCAAGTGCTTTTTTATGATATCTTGTGCAAGTAAGTGCAAGGCTGGGAAGCCCCGAAGCGTGTCCTCCCTCCCTCTTGGTGATGGTAAGAACCACCCCACTGGACTGCAAAGATTTGTAATACCTGTGCCAGTGACATAATAGGAAGTATCTTACTAGCTTCACTGGCTTTTTGTCAGGCCGCTGGTGAGCAGGTGGTTGAGAGAAAGCAGTAAATAGCTTCCCCGTGTCATTGCAGTGCTGGTGTTGGGAGGACAGGGACGTTCATTGCCATTGACCGCCTGATTCAGCAGATTGAAATGGAGAACACTGTGGATGTGTATGGAGTGGTATATGATCTTCGCATGCACCGACCTTTAATGGTGCAAACTGAGGTAAGGCTGTCTCTCATCCAGCAGCACGTTTTTCAAATGTGCATAATAATCCAGGAGAGGTGGATTCAAGATGTAGCTCAGAACTGCAGGAAGATGAGATATTAAGGAGCAATCTGAAATTGCTCTTTATTTAACTCCCTTCTTCCTGCCTCATCTCTTCCAACAACAGTAGTTGAGCCAGGGGCTGTAGTATGTCCAAGCAGTCTCTTTACAGAGTACTTTGTGGGACTGGCATTTGCAGCTGGAAAGAATCAAATCCTGAAAAAGTTTTTTTGCAGCTGTTTTACCCGTGTGGGTTTTATCTCTATAGCTGTGAGCCAGAATTATCTTGAGTCAAGTCGTCTCGGTGTGCATCTTTTCTTGTGTGTTCTGCAGGAACACATGTGTTCCTGCTAAAATTATCACTTTGATCCAAAAAGGTGTGTGGATTAACTCAAGCTGATTTGGAAAAGGCTGTAAAATCTCCATCATGAAAGTCTTTTAAGAGGATGTTAGGCACGACGGTAAATTTGATCCTAGTTTTTTATGGCGGGTTGATCAGATGACGACATGAGGTCCTTTCCAGCCCTATTTTCTATGAACTATACATACCACTACTAAAAAATACTCTGTGATAACATTCAGTGCAGTGCATCCAAAACCCAAAACCTATATTCAGGAGCAGAATCACTTCCAAAATCAGGTATTTTCTAGAAATACATTACCCTCCTTTCTCTTTTTCTCCCATCAGGACCAGTACGTCTTCCTAAACCAGTGTGTTATGGATATTATTAGATCACAGAAAGACAAGAAAACCGATCTTATTTACCAAAACATGACAGCAATGGCAATCTATGAAAATTTCACACCTGGGCCAGGCTTCGGGAAGGCCAATGGCTACCACGCATAGCCATAGGGAGGAACGCAGTGTCTCCAGGAGGTGTTCTCTGCGCATAGGAAAGGGAGACGTTCTACTTGTGTTTTCCGGGATTGTGTGCAGTGTCTCACGTCTGGCTTCTCCAGTTCTGGCCGCATTCGAAGATGTGATCTACAGGAGGAAAAACACAATGCTGGCAGGAGCCGCAGATTGATATTAAAAAAAAAACAAAACCCAAGCAAAACTATTTAAAGTTAACAGAGGAATCTTGCTTTTTCTTGGGAATTTAACAGTGCTGATAGGTGAAATAGCATTCACAGTATGAACAGTGAACTAGAATTTAAATATTAAAATAATAACACAAGCTTTTTATTACAATTTTATATGATTTCATTTACAGACACCAGGCTTGTGGGCTGTTTTAATATATTTAATTATAAGTTTCAGGAACATATTTTATCTACTGTATCTGGTTACTTAGCTAATAGATATGTGCCTCTGTGATTTATTTTTTTCCTGTGTTCCTTTTTATTTAAAAAAGGAGTACAAACAGCTCCTTCAAATGGACATTTATACTTGGAAATTGTGCCTTTTCTAGTTGCTACTCTAGGAAAAAAAAAACAGCAGAGATTCTATTTTTGTACTGAAACTCTTAATGAGAACACAGATTTTTAAATAAGGCTTATGTCAAACTTAACTGTAGTTGCACTGTTGGCAGGACTCTCCAGAAGTTTGGAGGTGAGCTTTGTTTTTGCATTTCACCACAAATATCCCCTGCCTTAATGTTTCGGTGCCTCTGCTAGAGGAAAAGGAGTGTCACTCCGAGCTTTAACTATAGTAAAAAAACTGAGCAAATGAATATGTGAACGTGTGTGCGGGAGTGTGTGTGGGTGTGTATGAAGGACAGAATAGCTCCTCCCTGTTCCTGGCTGATATTCCTGTTTTTATACAATTTATAATGATTTATTTAAAGGTGCAATATATGATTTATTGAATAATGATCACTCTATTCTAATAGAGTTTTACTCAGGTTGGTGTCTTTTTATCGTTGTTGTTTTTCCTCAAATATATAAATCTGTGAAAATGTCGAACTAAGGTTGCAAGTGTCCAAGCACTCCCAAACAGATTGACTGGCTTTACTGTTTCTACCAAAACAAATTGCACAAAATTCTGCTGTAAAGACCAATTTGTCAGTTGTTTTAGCCATTCAAAACTGAGACACATCTTACCTGCCTGCATCTCATTGATCTAATGTAATTGTTCTATTACTATTTGCAATATACTGCTGCTGTTGTTTTAACTGGTCCTTTTAAAAACAGAACAAACAAGCAGAAAACCCCTAGTTGCTGATTTTACAAGTCAGGGATTAGATTGGATTTATTTTGCTGGTACATAACTGTTAGACTTATGAAGGCATTACCAATGAAGGACTTACTTAAGTAGCTTGGGGGGGGTGTTTTTTGGTCTTCAGATAATTGCACTGGTTGCATTGCAGAGGAATATGAAGTTTATGAATAATGCTATAGAATAGCTATAAAGTGGTGAAAATCTTACGAAGGTTTAATAACCAGAGTCCCTGGAATTCTGCTGCTTTTTTGGGTTTTTTGTTTTTGTTTGCTTTAGCAGAGTTGTCAGAAAAAGCTACAGATACTAGGAGTATATGTGGCATTACAGGGGAACCTGGCGACCTCGCAGAATCCACTGTCAGCTGAAGGAAAATGTAGGAATTCCTGGTGCACAACTGTAACTTTACAGATATCCAGAGGAATTTTTTTACAACCTAGTGTGAAATTGTGATGTGCTTTGTGAGCAAAACTGGAGGACAAACCACAGTGAGCTTTTTTTTTTGTAGCAGCCACTTGTGCGTTCTTGAATATGTATTTTTTTTCTCTCTTTCTCTGAAATACTTCAAAATAAATAAATAATAAAAAACCCACGTTAATGATCCTGTCTAACTCCATCCAAACTGGCAGTCCACATAGTGGATCTCTCACCCGGCATTCTTCCTAAGCTGCTGTCAGATGACAAAGAAAGATAAACCACTTGGACCAAACAGAACCATTCCAAAGGAACTGGGAGGGAGGAAAGCCTGCCCCTTACACTCATGTTATTTTTTTTCTCTTAATTTTTTAATTCCTTTTTTTAATTACTGTGGAGAGCACAGAGCCAGTATTCATTATTCCAGGTCTCCCAAGAACTTGCTGCTTTAGGGTGGCGAATGCTCTCTTGCTTCAGAAGGCCCTTGTTTTATGTAGCACAGAAGAGAGGGACATGAATCTTCTATGCTAGATCATATGTTTGCATTATATTGCAGCAGAACGTCAGAAAACGAGCTAGAGTGGTGTGTGTTTCTGCCTAACCACTGCCTAGATACTCTTGCAGAAAACAAATGTATCTGTCCCATTGTTTTGATGTTGGAAGCAGGCACCAAATTCTCACTTGCGTCATCATCTAATGAGTATCCATTTTTAATACAACTGTATACATGTGTTTTCCCAAAACTGAGTCATTGTGAGAAGAGACTGCAGTTTGAAGTAAATGACCTGCTGATCCCAGGTATAGGTGGTGAGAGTTGGTAAGGCTTAAAAAGTTGTAAACATGAAGTTGGCCATAGTGTTGATGTGAGTAAGTAGGATGTGCCCCATAGGAGATCTCTGCAGGAGGAGGAGGATTGCAGGTAATGCTCTACTACCTTGTGGATCTGTCTTGGTCAAAATGATGTGAATTCCTGCAAATAACTTTTCCCTGCCTTCTGATGTTCGCTGTGTTATAGTTGCCAAGATGTGTCTCTTTGGTCGGCGTTTTCTCTTGTTGCTTATCTAAAACTATCCACTTTTCAGGCTGAAAGCTCCACTGTGTGGCAATTGCATCTCCTGCATTTCTGTTCTACTCTTTTTCCCATTCGGGGCCTGCTTAAGAAGGGAAAAGTTGATGCGTTTCAAATAAGTGACTGTTGAATATCTTGAAATGATGTACAAATTTTATTGTTTTCATATTTGTTGTACAGGAAATTTCAGCACATGTCTATAATGTTTTTAATGGTTTGATTTGTTTTTAAAGATATAAAAATAACAATTAAAAAGCATCATCCTAGAGCACTTTCTGTCTTGTTTCCTTCCTTGGGGTTTTCTTTTCAGTTCTTTTTGAATAAAATTCATTTGCCAAAATACCCATTTCCTTTAGAAGGGCTTTAGAATGGATAAGGAAAGTGGGCTCCCATCCTCTAGGGTGGCACTTGAGTCGGATTTGTATTACGGTCGCTGGGGCTCCCTGCGAGGGTGTTGCTCTGTCATTGGGGCTTGCCTGGCAGGACCAGGGCCCGATGCTCATGTGTCCTGGCAGTTGGCAGTTTCTCTAAATGAAGAGCTTGGTACCAGTTAAGGGAACAATACCTTCATCCGAGGTCAATCAAAAGATTTCCACTCACTGAAACAGCCTTGGGGGAGAACCAGTGTTTCTAGGACTCATTTACTTTCAGAAAAACAAGAGGGAGGACTTTTTGATCCCTTACCTCAGTTAAGTCCATTTCTTCTCAAATTCTTAGTTTCCACTCATGGTTGCCATCTGAATCACTCCCAAGGAGGATCACATGCCTGCAGGGTGATACTGGAACTCAGCAGCTCTCCAATTCCTCACGGGGTGCTGACGCTTACTGTAGAATCTTGTGATCCTCCATGGTAACTCTGCTGCATTTTCTGAAACGACTGCATGGTGAGATGGAAGAGCAAAGCGTGATTGTCTCATCATCTTCCAGTGGGAGCATGTGCCAGCCACACGATAGTTGTCCGAGTGCTCTTGGTGAGACTTGTGCTGCAGAAGAGAAGCTGTGACAACGAACCTCCCAGTGCAGGACCTGCAGCAGGTGACCACCACTGCTGGGGCAATCAGCCTCAGGGAGACTTCTAGGGAGCAAAATTCCTCACTTTTTTTTTTTTCCTTAAATCACATAGGTTTGTTTGAAATACTAAACTTCAGTAAAGCCAACTGTTCTGGCTGTCCCTTGGAGTGTTTGTCTGTTCAGGTGGGTAGAGCTGAAGCCGTGTATCTGGAAATCGCGTTCTGTGCCTGGTCTTGTCATTTACTAGTTTTACTGCCTTTGAGACTAAAAAGGTGGAGGTCAGAAAGGAAGGGACATAACGTTTCTGTCCTGTTCTTTGCTTGATCAATGGGATGTAGTTGGAAATACTGCTGCCCTTGCATGCCCTTCCTGGCTGGGTGTTACCAGGTGGTGAATGGAGATGAACAGATGTGGATGTTACGCAGAAGAGGGTCAGAAATGTGAGCTTGGGAGGGAAAAACACCTGAAAACTTTGCACATTCTGCTTTTCTCAAGCAAAAAGAAAAACCCTTTTAGCGATGGGGAAGATGCCAGGTCTTAACAGCTCCTGGGTGATCTGAGTAAAAACTAATCAAAAAATACAGATGCAATCACTTTTGTCCAGGGGCAGAATAAGGGGCAAGCAAAGGTCAACAGTTTACTTGCTTCTGAGGTAGGTACAGTGTTCCCCCATTTCTCATACCCACCAGAGAGTCAGTTTACTTCCTTTTTCCAGTTACTGTGTCTGGTTCAGGGAGTCCCTTTCAGCTCTTCACATGAGAGAAGAAACCTCGTGTTGTTGAAACCTCTGGCTTTAAATGGTTCCATTTTCAGCACTTTGCAGAAGTGTTTACGGAGGTGGTACCAAACAGTGTCTCTCTCCAGTGTTCCATTCTCCCTCCTCTTGGATTGGGCAAGCCCTTTGCCCATGCCAGCCTCCTGCCTGTGAGGGAGGAGGAGGTAAACGAAGCAGAAGACCTGACTTGGAAGCACCAGGAGGAGCTGCTTCCTGCCTGCTTTGCTGGCAGAAGGGAAGGAGCTGTTTGAACACCTCACAAGGGGGAAAAGCCTGGAGCCCCTCTCAGGCTGTTTCTTAGACCTGAGGAGAAAGATTCAGGATCCAGGCCTGTTATTCTTTGTCCCTGTTACTTAGCAGAACCCCATTTATTCATCCAAGTTGCTTTTCCTGGGTTTATTTTATTTTAAATCAATAGATGTCATCTCCTGACAGCCAAAGCAAAGCTAGCAAATTGGCTCCTCTCACTGAGAAAAGGTTGCCTAGTTTGATCCAAAGCAAGTTACTTTAACTCACATTTTCCCTCCAACTTTCCAAGTGACCAGGGAAAAGCCAGATTCTTTGGAACGATGTTCTGGACATCATGCTAGTGTTTCACAGATATCCCTAGTGTATTAATAGTGCTTACAAGAAGATTGCTAGGGACGCAAGAGCTGTGTGCTAGGGACAGAGCACTCTTCACACACCATGCCATGCCTCTGCCCTCGTTTCAATGCAGGGCAGGATGGGCAAGACAACATGTATCTTCTCCAAGAGGTTTCTGGACTTTTTTTTTTTTAATCTGACAGTTTCCTGATGCGCTGCTTCCATTGTCAGGAATTTACTACCAGAAGAAAAACCCGCTCTGTGATAAAGGCAGATCTAATGTCAGCTCTGATTAAGGTATGTGTCTACCTAAAAGGTGATTGCTGTCTCTCCAGAAAAG